ATTTCTAAATAATACTTTTGTTTTCATACCTAAGATAAGATTCAGCAATTCGATTCATTCTTTTAAAAAAAGCTCTTGATGTATAATAACCACTCCAATAATTATCAGCACGATCAGCATATGTAAAAAAATCTCCAGCATAACTTGGAAATTCTGTAAGAGATTTTTCTTGTAGAATTTGTTCAAAATAATCACTTAATGTACCATATTGAATCTATTGTTTTTTTTTTGATGTTTATAGATATCAATATTTTCTTTTAATAAAAAAAAAAAAAAAAAGTAATAAATCTTACTTGAACATTCCAATCAGTTCTTTGATTCATATATGTAAATAATTTATCATAATTATCAAATTGAAGTTTAGCCTCATATTTTAACCTATAACGAAAATCATCACCTAATGGAATAAATAAAACATTTGTTCGATATAATTGAGCTTTCTTTCGATATTGATCTAATAATAATTCAGCTCTAAATTAAATAAATTTATAAAAAATTAGAATTAAAACTTTATTTTTACCTTTCATGAGTATTGCTATCATTAATAAATACAGGATTTATACCCCATGAACAACCTGTAAATGAATTGACTCCTCGTCTAAAATCAAATTGACAACATATTTTTGGATCAGGACCACATGTATGTGGAATATCATAACCATAAAATGGAAGGACATGAGTAAAAATTCGTGTAGATACAGTTCGATCTATTAGAATCACATTAATATATTTATAAAATTATATTGTAAATAATTTATTTACCCCATGTTTGTTGCCAAAGAAATTCTAATTGTTTCGTTTTTGCTAATGCTTTTTTAATATGATAATGAATTCTAAATAATTATCGATAATTTTATTTAATGATTCTTTAGAATTTACCGTTGGATAGCCATATAATGGATACCTGAGCCTTGTAATAGATAAGCCATAGTGGGTGAATAACCAAATGGATCATTAGCCCAACTACTTTGTACTGTAATATTTCCTAAATAATAGAATAAACAAGATTAAAACAAAGAAAATAAAATAATTTCCGAACCAAATGTGTTTTCAATAAATTGATGACCTTCGATAAGTTGATCAAGCATACTAAAATAATGTGTATTTGCCTCGTCATTCATTACCTAAGAATGAAAATGAAATAAAAAGCTTGAATACCAGTATAAATGTACCGGATTAGTTTAATTGATGAAGTGCACAAAAGCTGACAAGTGAACGTTTTCAATCGATCGATTGTTTTCTTACCGAATGTTAGTAGAATGTCCTTATCGATTATGCTGTTTTTCTAGATCAACAAACTTTTCCCTAAAAACTTTTTTTTTTGATCTATTCAGACTATAGAACATAGATAATTGCGTAGAAAACAATAATTTCTTATTTTTCAAATCGTTTTTCTTTGCAGAATAGCTGTTAGCCCAATCTTCTTGAGATTCAAATGTCGAATACGATGTAGCTTCTCCTACTAATTGCAGACATATTATTTGGTTCTATCTTTTTCGAGACAGACTTCCTCACCATCCTCTTACCTTATCCTCTAAAAATGCAATAAGAAAATATTTCATACATTATAATGAGATGTTATTGATGCACAGTCTATGATCGTACATGATCAGTGTCCGTTACGTGGGGACTGGGCAAATTTCTACTCCTATATTTTGAAAACCTTCAACATAATATTATTTTCTTTAAAACTTAGTTTTTGGAAAATAGAACAGATTCCTGTTTTGTAAATGAGTCGAAATGCTCTATGATTTGACGAGGGAATATCTTCAGGTGTTAAATCACTTTCCGATCGAGACGATATTCGTTCGATAAGTACTAGCAAGAAATAGAAAATTCTAGAATATGTTCTAATTTTTGAACTTCAAACTGCATACGAGCAAAATTCTTAATGAGATTAGGCAATTGTGCAAGTTTTCGTTTTCTTAGTATTATCTCTCTGGAGATGTAAGTATATAAATAAAATTTGTTTTTTAACATGAAAGAATTTCGAATGTTCAATATCTTAGGCATACCAGAAAAGTTCTCTAATAAAATTTCGATATCACAAGAACAAAGACCTATAAAATTAAACCATTCTCTAGGCTGTTCTATTACTCACGCACTAGTATTCATCAGATAAACATCATTTCCTTACAGTAATCTGGACAACTGATTTTCTAGAAAACAAACATGCAAAATCCTAAGGGAATTTCTTATGGTCATATTCGAAAGCAGCATGATCGATAACTCATGATCTAGTAGGTTTTGATAATTATCTTGCTTGGATACATATTATTTTACTTGCTTACCCAACCACCAGTAACAATTTCTAATTGTTTATTGTTCAGAAATTTTTTTAATAATTCACGTTGATCATTTTTTGCATGATTCCACCATAAACTTAAAAAGGACATTTCAGCCCACACAAATTTATATTTTGAATTTTCACTAAGCTTTCCTAGCATGACATTAATAATAGGTCGTACTACATGAAAAAAATATTGTTCATATGTTGCAAGCCAACCTAATGAAATACGTTAAATAAGATAAATTTTATTGAAAATTTTGCTATCGATTTGAATATTTAATGTGTTCTACTGTATTTTTGAATAACTTTTGATAGGAATATCTTAGAGATCTGCGCTTTTCACCATTCAAAAGAGAAAACTCAGAATTATCCTAGAATATTGAAATTTGATGGGTCATCAAGTGAACATTCAGGTAAGTTCTCCGCGAAGATTTTCGTTTTGATCTCAACTTTTGATAGGATTATGCAATAGAAAAAACTCTTCTTTTTCGATCCATAAAAAGTTGACATTCCCAGTTTGCTTTATTTTAGAGTTATAAGACATTTCCTGCAACTTCTCAATTTCTGCAACTAGCCTGTGAGCACTCGAAAAAGCAATTAGACAGAAGTAATTCATTGTACTGAGTCGAATGATGACATTTTACATTGAAATTGAGGTGATACCTTTGTCACGTGAACGGTAACTATGAAAATTTACCTCTGTTTGACTGCATTCTAGAGAACTCAGAGGTCAATATCCTGAAATTGAGTTCTAGGAAAAGTTTTATAACCCTCAAGCATAGCAAGCTATGAGTGTTGGTTATTTATAGATCGAAAGAGAAGAATGTTTTCTATCGATTAGTTTTATTAAAAGTCTTAATTATAGAGCGAATAGATCAAAGATACTGTTTCCAAAAATCTGTACTAAGAACTGTTCGAATGAGTCAATTGCTAATTAATGAAATTTTGATAAACTTCGATGGCCCCGAATTTCCTCTCTTGAATGATGAAAACTATAGATTTCAATGATGCTCCTATCCAAAGTTATTCAAAAAAGAAAGATTGGATCACATTATATTTTGAAATGATCAATAGTTAACCTGGATCACAATGTGAATGAGGCATAAGAATTATTTTTAATTTATTATTTGATGTCCATTGTGATGCATTATATTGAATATCAAAACCTTGTATCCATACACCACCATCTGGATTATCAAATGGAAGACTATCATATAATTGTCGCGTCTAGAACATCAATAAAATTTCTATAGAAATTTCAAGAGAATAATTATCCTACATCAAATGTAGTATTCATTGGAGAAGATGTTCGCCAGATACATTGATTATTACTATTATTAGATTTGAATAAAATCGTTTGAGTTTTATTATCAGTCAATTGTGAAACTGTTTTTTCTGTAAGATTTTCAAATAATAATTTTGATTGTTGCGTTGATGTTAATTTTTCATTTTGTTTTTGTCTTGCATATTTAATTTCTTTATCAAGATCTTGAATAGAATCTTCCAAAGAATCGAGACGTTGATTAATCCATTGTTCTTTTAATTTCTATATAAAACAAAATCAATACAAACTTCAAATATATTAATATCTGTAATATTGAAAGAAAAAACTTCTTTTTTTTTTAATTACTTTTTGTTCATCTCTATCTGTATGAATTGACTCAAGCATTGTATATAATACAATAACCATTGAAAGAAAGAAAACAGGAAGCAACAAACGGATACACCACACACGGCTCATCTATAATATATAGTGTAAATATCAATAATAAAGTTTCAACATATGATGTTCAACTTCGAAATCGGACAGTAATGTCAATATAAATTCATAAACTATTGAAAGACTATAAACAAGTGCCTGTTATAATAGACTGAATCGAATTGAGTTTCACTGGTTCGGATTATCTTTGTTATCTTAAAAATTCAAATAATGCATTCTTTGCACTACGTTTCTTTTCTATATTGTCATCGAACTCGAACAATTTAAAACTAATCATGTAGGATAAAATGGAAGAAAATTTTTTAAGTTTTAGTCTTTTGTTATATCTCAATTATTTGTTTCATTCTGATTTTTGGTGATGTCCTAAAACTTCTCATGTAAAAAAGACTAGCTCAAAATCAGATTAAAATCGATTATTTTTGTATTAAAAATCTGTTATGCTGACACTATTTTATTCTCATTTCGAGCCATTTTTTTACATGGGTTATTAAAATCATCTCAGTTCTACTTCAATGTATGCTATCGTATTTATTCTAATTCGTCAATAATCCAAACTCGATCAATTTGATTTTCGTAAGTTAGTTCTAAATGCCTTTCAAAGCAAACAAGCTACTCTTCTTTTATGGTACTGTTTAGATCACTTCATTGTCTGTTAAAGATGTCATTTTTGTTTATATTTGATACCAAAGTCATGTTTTTTACAACAGTACATAGAACAAAATAAAATATAATAAAAAACAATGGTATTAATTAAAGATTAATATTTAGTACAAATTAGTTTTGTCAGTAGTAAAACGAGAAATTGAGAGATTGAAGAAAAAAAGAACAAGCAAAAAAAACACGTTTGATATAAATTCGTTTGTCTTTGTTCATATATCATAAAAAAAGCACATCAAACAAAAGGAATAATAATAATAATAATAATATATATGTACGGAAAGTATGAGTATTTGAGTTTTGTAAAGATCACTGTTATTTTGTTTTTTTTTATTACAGATAAAGTCCATTGATTAAATAATCAGCATCAACAGCATAATTTTTTAGTCTACGACCAGTTCGTACTTTTCGACAATAACAACAGAGTATAACAAATAAAATAATTGTACATAGAAGACCCAAAACAAGAAATATAATAACAGCTGTTTCATGAAAATATGATTTTTTCTGTGATACGATAACATTAGCTAGAATAAAAATAAACAAAAATAAATCCTATTTCTTTATTGAACCATCATTAAATTCAAATTTCTATTATAGATAACAAGAATTCATAATAATAACAATAAAGTTCGATTGACAAATGCTTGAAATCTAAACTCGAAATAAATTCTTCATGCTAATATTTTTTGACATTAGTAAAACTTTATGAAATTTATCAATTTAACTTTTCAATAAGTATCTAGTCAATTTAAATCGATTTCTTATCAAATCAATACAATTATCAAGGAATTGAATTTAATGTATTATTTTTTAAATTAAATCAATAATGATCAAACTGAAATGATGAATTGTACGATGTATATGTTACATTCAAATTCTTCGTTGTCTAAACTAATTTTTGTAAATATTTTTAAGTACATAAACTTATCAAAGCACGTGCCATGCAAAGGATGATAAAGATATATTTCCTAACATGCAAGAAACAAGCTAACTGATTAGGCACTTATTAGTATAAATGAAAGATTTTTTTTTTCTATGTAGATGCAATACTTACAAATCGTTGATGTTGATTTCACATCAACATTTATCGTTATTGATTGCGGATAAAATGCTGAATCTTTTTTAGGTGTCATAATAGTGTAATCTTGATGTGATGCTAATATACAACTACCATTGCAAGCAAATAAATAACATTTATAACCATCCTAAATGAACAAAAAATAAATAAAATAAATAAATATTTAAAATATAACAGTATGAACGTACATGAGTAGGTTGTTCGCTAAGCATAGCTAAATCGCAAGTTTTTTCTTCACAACATTTGAGCATACAACTATCGCGAATATTCATATTTAATGATAATAATCTTTTATCAATAAGAATATGTTGTATCATATGTGCACCATTTTCTAATTCTTTTACTTTAACTAATTGTTCAGGTTTAATATCAAATTTATTAGTACATGATAATGTATCAGTTAAATCATGTTGATTACTTGCTGTTGTCGATGAAATTATTTGATTTTTTACATCATTATTTTCAGATTCTTCACTAATAACATCGTTTTCATCAAAAATTTTTTTACGTGATGGTGGAAATTTTTTACGTTCATATAATAGAGGAGAATCTTGTTCATCATCATCATCATCATTTTGATCATAAAAATTTTGTTTATTTGGACGATGCTTATAATTGTGGTCGGTATTTAGAAGATTAATTAAATCATCAATTTCATCATTGTGACGAAATAATTCAATAGGAGAGATTAATAAAAGGAGAAATATAATAAAGATCTTCATCTAGAAAATAGATTTTCACAATTAATAATCTAATATTTCAACAAAAGCAAATGAACTAGTCAAGTCCTATCGTACATCAGAAAATTCTTTTCAGCACAACTGAAAGGAATATTTCAAATAAAACGAAATACTTTATATATATCATTCCTGATTTAAGATAGAAAAATACAAAACTAATCATTATATTTGTAATCTTTTTCGTTTTTTAATATCTTGTTGTAAAACAATGGAAACTAAATTTGATTTCTGTACAATATCACGCATTTTACTACGAATTTCATTTGTTGTTCTTTCAAATGATTGTAATGAAGATGATTCAATCGTATTAGTCGTAGGAGATGATATTAAATCATTTTTCGGAATAAGAGTTGATTGTTTATATACAATTGTACTTCGTTTTTTTTGTGGTATATTTTGTCGAATCACATTCATAGATCGTTTTTTTTCTTTTGTATAATTATTCATTTTACTTTTACGCTGTACAATTGTTCTTCGTTCATTAAATTTTTCTCTTAAATCATCTAAACTTTCACATTCAGGTGCATAACATATATGTAAAATTGATCCCATGAAATTCATATCATCAAGACAACATTTGGCATGACGTGCTTGTTGTATTTGTATAAATTTAATTAAGATAGTATCAAAAAATTCATCATCTTGTGTTGAATCTTTTCGTATATATCCATCTAATCTCCAATATTGTTCAATTTTTCCATATTGATTAAAATATGGTAATAATTGTTCAACAACACCAGCTATCGATGGAATATTTTGTATAAGAAGATATTTTGATTCTTGAGCTATTGTATAAACTTTTACAGCACGTAATTTTTTACCATTACGATATGGTGGACGAGTTAAACAAATATTATCTTTTACATGATGATCATGTGATTGAAACATCTAAAATGAAAAAAACAAACACGGGTCTAGCGTCTATCTTTATTTGAATATATTAAATAAATCATAAAAATAGGTTAATTAAATAAAATGTAAAATATATATACAAAAAAAAATAATAAAAGCAACAGTTTATTAATAATCCTGAAGCGAGAAAAGCAGGAAATAAGCATATTTATTTTTCGTTGATTATGTTGACTAGAAAATTGACTAGCTTTGTTAGTGTGATTATGCAAATTGAAAATCAGCACCACACAGGTTGTTTTTTGAGCAAGGGTGATATTGTCATTGCGCGGATATATAAATATATATATATATGAATAAAATAAATATAAATATAAATAAATAAATAATTTATTTTTTTGTTTCTTGTTTACTTGATAAACGTTTTTTACGTACTAGAAATAAACAATAAATAATTTTTATTTATTTATTTTTTTGTTGATATATTAAAGAATTATTTACAAGCATCAATATTTTGTTTAAGTTTTTCTGTAACACGAACTCTTGGACCAAGAGTATCAAATTGTAAATTTAGTCGAAGAAGAGTATGATTTTGTGCAATAGCATCAGCAACTTCCATTTCAACTCGATTACCAAGAATTTGAGAACGCTTAAAAAAGAAACAATAGAAATTATTCATAAGGAAAATAAAAAAAGAGAGGAAAACTAATGTTGAAGGTGTGTAAACTACAAAAAAAAAAAATAGGTGCGTGTATGTGTGTATATGATCAAAACTTATAGTTACACTTTTATTGTTAATGAATGAGTCAATTAGTCATTCGTTGGCTGAAATAATGCAAATATAGGTTAAAAATTCATCAGATATTATATCAAATACTTTCTCAAAGCTAGAATTTCAATATATTTAATTTATAATACCATTTGTATATTTAACTGTATTGAAAATCAAAAAATACGTAAAGACACGTATCCGTGACACACGATATGCTTCATTACTCATGATATCAATTCGTCCCTGAGAATATCAAAGTGAAGAATGAATCCTTTTCTTTATATTCAACGAATATTACAAGTCTTTCATTGTAATTTTTTTAAATTTCACTGGTTAGAAATGATCTACTTAGATATTCAATTGTTTTTAAAATATTTCTTGAGTTTTAAAAAAACAGAATTAATACCAACGTTTTTTTTTTTAGCCAAATGAATGCATTTATTTGTTACTTGATTTAAATAAATAATAGTTCTTTTCGTTAGCATTTTGAATATAAAATACAACAGTGAAACAATCATCTTAAATTTTTGATTCTCTTACAATACAATAATCTGTTTATTTATCATTTATTCTATGACAAGTAAGAAAAAACATTGAGCACTATTTCGTCAGCAAGAATAATGCTTTTTCTTTGTTTATACCACCATAATTTTATTATTATATAGTAAATATAACTTCTACATCCAACAGCTGCACGAGGCTCTCAAGACTGGAAAGGTGTATATAAGAAAATGCCTAAGAGATAGCGAAGAATTCAAAAAATCGTGAAAGTTTGACCAAGTAATAATGAATAATTTTCGATTTTAGGAAGATGTACATCCTCATCTTCTTTTGCGGCTAGTGTTGACATCTGCTCAATATTAATCAGTTGATTAATCTATTATTTTCAATTTTCCAAATCATTTTATCCATTTCAAATTAATGTTTCAGATTTTTTTTTTTCGTTTTAAAATTAATCAAAAAAAAAAAGAACTTTTTACCTGATTTGATAAACGTAATTCAATCAATGTTTGATTTTTCAATGTACTTCGAACAATTTCAGTAATAACAGGACCTGTTAATCGATTTGATTGGACATTAACTGTTTTCAATGTTTTATTTGCTTCAATAAGTTCTGCAAGAACCTAATTATGAAAAATAAAAAGCAATTTCAAATTTTTTTGTGTTTTATTTTCTAATCAAAATAAAATTCTTACACGACCAACACTATCAGTCATACCAACATTAGCCATTTCAAGAATTTCTACATGTGTATTTTGTTTTAGTGCATTAAGTAAATCTTTAAGTACATCAGGTTTTATTCCTTGAATATTATTTATATTAATACGAATTAATTCTTTATCATCAGCTTTTCCTTTTTCTATACATTCTTCAACATTAGTTATATTATCTGGTTCTGGTGGAAGTAATTTTAATGGTTCACATTTAGCAGCAGCTTAAAGAAAAATTTTAAATTATTTTATGTATAAATTTTTTCTCTTCTTCATACCATTCCAACCACCGGCATTTGTTGATACAGGTTTATCTGTTACTGCAGCATGATATTGTACTTGATTAATTAAACCAGTAAAACCAAGAATAGCTGAAAACAAAAAATTTAACTGTAAATAACAAAAAAAAGAGCAAATATCGGTTTCAATAAAATCAACAAACCAGCAAGTTCAACAATTTCGGATTCATTTGCATTTTTTAATACATCATCCCATTCTGTATGAGTTAAAAATTCATCATCTTCATCGACAGCTGGTTTTTCAACTTCAGGTGGTTTCCAAACTTTGCCTTTTTTTTCACCGGGTACAAAAGGTTTTTGTTCTTCCCAATCTTTTTCACTTTTTCCTTGTTCACTGATAAAACTTAAAAGTTTATTACGATCATATGGACCACTTGATTGTTTATCTGTTCTATATTTACAACGATCACTTGCTGGTAAATAAGCATTCTTAAAAGAAAATTTTTATTAGAATAAAAAAAAAACAACGAAACAAATTAAATGCATATTAATACTTCTGGATCAATAAGATCATTGATATTTTCAAGTTCTTCAGCGCTAAGTGCACCTAAAAGTGTTTCGAAATCATCCATATTAACAGGTTCATTCGAACTTTTTGTTGTTGCCATTGCGTAGATTTTAATCACTATAACGAAATATATGTAATAATAATAATGTCGTTCTATAAAAGGAAATAAATATCAATAAACAATAACCAATTCGGAATTATGAAACAGATGGCAATAGTAACAAGTAAAATCATTTAATTCATTGGTTGCATAAAAGAACCATTGTAAAAAGAATAAATGTCATATATGTATGCTTGTCGAATTTTTACAATACTTATGATATTAATGATTTAATATCAATCATGTCTATTATTGTTAAATCAGATGATACGGTAAATAAAATAGAAAGAATTTATCTAAGTTATTTATGTATTTTTTTTTCTATTTAGAATAATTTGTCACAATTATTTAATTTTGAAAAAGATTGGCTTATAGGTCGAACAATTTTATCAAATGATAATTTCAATTCACTTAATAATATTTTTGATCTCAATGAAAATATAACAAGAGAAAATAGTAAAGATAATGTATGTAATTTTTTTTTTGGTACAAGTTGCTATGGAAATATCATTGAAATAGGAAAAAAGAACAATTCTTATTTGATTCACTCTTTGAAAACTGACGTTGTCTTTTTATAGGAAGAAAAAAATTGAATTTTCACTTATAAAATCAATTATAGTTAAAAATTATGACAAAAAGTTTTTCTATTTGTTGTTTGACATTGTGAAGTGTAATCTTTACGTGTGATGCAAGATAACAATAACAACTAGAATAATATTCTGTTTTTTTCCTCCTTTATTACAATCGATAATCTCCTCTATATACACTTGAAACGGATGGAAAAGTCCATAGGTGATAATACACGATAAGGAAAAAATCACCTGTGAAATATCAAGAGAAAAGAGAATAATCTATAGATCGAAGAAAAGAAGGACGAAAGGTAACATCTATCACACATATCGAATAGTAAAGGAAAATAACATGAATAAAAATAGAATAACAGAAAAGAGAAAAAGCACAAAAGAGCAGAGAACATGCTATTACCTAACAAACATATAGAAGTTGAAAAATGTCTAACAGTAAATCTACTTAGTTGATAAGTCAATGCAGAACATCCTATTGTAGATATTCGAACATTTTAAATTTCTAATATTTCACGAATAAATTATAAGCAATAATCTACAAATTAAAATTTCTTTCCAGTATTGACTTTATAAGGCAAAAAATATGCTATGAATTACATTGAGCTAAATATATGTCTACTATGATTTGTAATAACGTCTGTTAGTGTAATCATGTACAT